TTTTGTACTTCTTTAGGTTTGGTGTACGAATAGCGTTTATCTGTGGTATCACAACGGACCATTATTTGATCTTAAGTGACGTCTTTACTGCACAAAGATACCACAGTTTGCGGGTTATATCTTGTGGTGTTCTGAATTCTAGCGGATTTCACTGTGTTTTCATGCCAAAAACAAATACTAGAGTTGTTCACGATTTCGAGTAACGCGCTCGGTAATCGAGTAAAAGTACAACCAGTTACTTTAATTCGTGAGCACACTTGATGGGGTGGATTTGTTAATGACAGCTGTTAAAATCAGCTGTGTTTTGATGAATTTGTGAGTATATATATAACACTATGTTTTAGTTTGTGCTAAGGTGCACTTCAACAGTCATGTAGTTTTAATATTGTCAATATTGTTTTGATCACGAAAAATTTTTTAAGACTTTAATTTTTATCGCATCTGAAATGTATAACATTGTACACAGTGATATTACAAGACATGTATTGAATAATTTTTGCTTATAGTTGCAGATCAGAATATCAGATATAATATAAAATTACTAATGGTATAAAATTTATTAGACGAACTGTACTATTTTAACACGAAAATGCAAGTAGTTTGCAAAATTATTACAAAATAAGACAGAAGAGTTTCATTTAATACCGTCTGTCCGTCCCTATATATAGCTCCCCTAAAATTATTTAATTTTTTTTTGGTTTTATCCTTTAATTTTAGTTACAAATAATAATAATGCAATTATATAACCCAAGAGTGAAAAAATAATGTATTTATACTATCTCACAGGAATAAAACTAAAACAAAATAAAAATCAATTGGTAATGACGTAACGTACATACATGTATTCACAAGTGTTTAACATTACAACCCAAGATTTTAGCGCATAGATTTAATTTACGAATAATAAATATTAATAATCTGATTATTTAACCTCTGCATTTGGATTTTAATTAGAATTTAAGCTAGTATCTTGATTAAATACTAATTTATATAATGGAATATATGTATATGGATTAGTCAATTTCGATTCAATCAGTCTAATATCTATAATAATCATTATCCGTCTGTCCATCCTATATTTTCTGTGTACAAAAAACTTGTTTTATACGGCGTTTACAGTGTGAGATTAAGAGAACGGGGTTAAGTTAATCTGCATTTTTAATCTCCACTGTTTACATTATACATTGGAGATTAACTTTGACGTTTCGCTTGTTGTGTTTTGTTTCGTGTGTTTGATAAATTTCTGTAAATAAAGCATTTAATGACAATTTTGTACAAAAAAATTGTAATATAAATTTATTAAATAGTTTTATAACACTGATTTAACAAGTTTTAGTTATAATTATGTATAAAACTATTATTAAACAAATTTATTAAAAATATTCTCACTTCGACATTTTTAAATTTTCAATATTTGTTTTGAATAGATTTTGACATTTCTCTTTAAATTCTTCTAAGATCGTAAAAAAATCTACGATATTACGCCATTTGCAGAGTTGCACAGAGAAATAATCACCATTTCGAAGGAGATTTAAAATTAATTTCGATCAAAAGAAGTTTAACTTTTACATGGGAAATCTGAGATCAAACAACGAACTTATTGCTTTAATCTACTTTTAATCTCACAATGTAAACGCCGATGTACAATGTAAACAATGTAAACGCACCTGTTCGAATTATACGTTGCGAGTTTTTTTTTTAACGATATTCGGGTTTGTTATAATGGAAATGTGAAAATAAGTTTATGTGAAAAATGTGAAAATAAGTTTTTACCGTAATGTTTTCTTTCAGAGTGGCAAAAATACTCGCAACTTACAAAAAAACATGTGAAACAACAACAATTCTTACGTCTTATGTCTTTAGTTTTAGTGCAGCCAAATTCAAAAATCAGTCTATTGTGAATGTTCACTGAAAATATATTGCAAAATTTCAGACATCCTTTAATATCATATAAGCATTTCATTTACTATTAAATTCAAATACATAAATAAATAAATTAATATATAAATAATTAATAAATTAAATTTCACATAATACGTTTGACAGAACCTTATATACGATATTTATTATAGCTGTGTCAACTTCATTATGATCGGGAGGCGGGACGATTATTTCATCGCCAACGATTACAAATTCTGAATCATCTTCGCTAGTCACATTACTACTACCGCCATTTAGTAGGTTCGAAAAGTGATCCCTCCAAATGTTAAGCATGCTTTGGACGTCTATCACGAGATTACCATTATCGGGTGATATCGCACATATATCGGGTGCTTCAGATTCATTTTCCAGATACTGATAGAGTCGAGTAGCGAAGTCATTAGCTGTCTGTTGTGATTGCAGCATTTCGACGACTAGCATTCGCTCTGCTTCTTCACGTACCTTTTTCATCGCACGTAAAAATGTGCGGATCTTGGCTGCAACAAGATAATGGTTCGAGTCGATGTTGGCTTCTCGGATAGTACGTACATCGAAGACGTACTGGAAACATGCTCTCCGTCTATCACATCGTGATCGATTCGAGATCTTGTGTTTTGATTAGGTGACAATCATGTTGCCTTATGTATGTTGAGATGCCGGAATCTGGTACTAATAACCACCATGTTTCTAGCCACGGTGAAATCAATCAGCCTCCTTCCATTATCAGAAGTTTTTGTATGAAGGTTGAACTTTCAGACAGTAGCACCAAAAACACATTGTTTACCCACCTGTGCATTGAAGTCTCCTACAACGGTTTTGATGTCATGATGGGGACAGAGTTCATATGCTTGTTCAAGCTGTCCATAGAAAGTCGGTGCATGTGCACAAATTGGAGTAATGCAGAAAAATGTTGCCTTAATACAGATAATACAGGTAATGTCAGCCTTATATTACTTGAGGACATTAACCAGCACCTTATCTGTAAAGAGTTCGGACATTCCATCTGCATGTTTTAAAATCGTCATCGTCATCTGTTAATCGTTTCTTTATCCGAGGCGCCACTTCGTCTTGATTGCGTTTTGAAATGGGTTCCAAGCCTGACGTATAACTACATATATCCATGATGAGGATTTCGCTGCACACATCAGTTCATTATGAACGGAAGATGGTAGCTATCTAGAGGGAGTCACGTGGAGGGAACAGTGACAAGAACCGCTCTGACCACCCCCCTCCCCCGAAGCGCACATCACCAATGTCAAAAGCAGAGTAAGGAAGAATGCAAAAATGAAGTCAAAAGTCATTACCTGTCACATGCCAAAATGCTGTCAAAAACATTAAATCAGTGATACCATACTGCTTGGTTGTTGTGCCAAATCCCAAATAGTGTTATATTTCTTAATAAGCATTTCAGGGATATAAATGTCCAAACAAGATAGTAATTGTGGTAATTAAGAATAAATTTGATCACACCACACTGTAATATTGACAGTTGCTAATTTTGTTAATGTAATTAAAATCTTGTCGTTTCCAATATATTTTATATATCTATTACATGTTCAATTAATAAAAACAAAGAATTTATTTAATACTTACTTTTTTTATATGTTTGTTTACAGCTTTCTTTATGGAAAATTTATTAATATTTTATTTCGCCTTAATTGAGTTGATTTATTTATAATGATCTTACTTATATGAAAGTTCTTGTATGGTAAATAATTCTTCTAAGTGGCTTTGATAAGCAGAAGTGCTTAAATGAAACCATTGGAAACATTGTACAACATATCAGGTCTGTTCCACGAAATAAAACACAAGTAACGTACAAACGGAAAGCGTAACACAAATAAAGTTGCAAATTACGCTCTTTAAACTTATTTTCATGGAACAGCTTTATGTAATCTAGTGAGAATACCAGTGCCACGCAAATAAACAATACAAAAATTTTAATTCAAAATTTAGTTTTTAATTTTAATTCTAATTTTAATTTTCAATCTTATCTTATTATAAATAATTCAATGTCTCAATAGTTTTTTCCAAAGCAATGGCTTAGGGAAAAAATGAATTTAGTTTTAAGATTTGATCCACTTATTGTTAGTTTCGGTTTTAGAAAGATTCAATAAATAATTTATAAATTGAAAAAAAAAAATTCAAACCAAAACAGCTGATTCACACATCAACACAAATTTTTCTTGAAATAAAATGTACAATTAAGGCCTGTGTAGCATTTTCAAATTTCAACAGGGATGTTACGCTCTCTCAGATGTTCTTATTTACTCGAAAATTTGCTGGTGGATCGCATTTGTGTACACACAGTGTTACTCAAAGTTCCTACGAATAGGTCGTGAAACAGACCTATTATTATAAAATATGGGTAGTAGAATTGTAACACTTTGTTTAGATAGCCAAATTTCTTTAATTTTGTAAAAATGAAATTGAGTTAATTTCGAAAGTGTTCATGCAGCTCGAAACTAAGAAAATCACACGCTCCGAACACTATTTGTATCTGGAAAATTTCAAAAGTTGATAATTATATATATGAAGGATGGCATTCAGTAGTTTTATTAGCTATAATTGATTTCTAGTATATGAATTATTATTTTTCACTCTATTTTAAATTAACAACAATTACAGTTTTTTCTCTATTTTTATTCTCTATTTAAAAATTTGCTCTACTTTCAAAATATTTCCCGGTTTTATTAAAGTCAACTGTCATTGACATTTATATAAAAAAATATCACTTTTTCGTCAACTTTATTTTTTGCTTGAAATTTAACTTAAGCATTTATTTAAGCTTTTGTTTCAACGAATTTAATGGCATTTTCCTTAATTTCGTTCTTACCTTAAAACTGAATTTTGTATGGAAAAAACAACTAAATTTCGCTGAAACAAAAATAAAATTAAGATTTTTACGAAATTTGGTGTGTCTAAATATAGTATTGGATTAATTATAAATAAAAAAAGTCATATACCCACATTGAAACATATATAAACATTTTATTATGACTTGCGGTTCATACGTATGTCTCATGCATGTGTAACAAGCATGCAGTCACACATGCTTTATCTTGTGTCAAGTGCGATTCTGTTATTTGTGTTTCGTTCCATTTACAGAGGAACACATATTTGGGCGCCAATTCATTTCCCACAGAGGAAAAATATTACAATTGGGTTTGCTTACATGTTTGTTTAAAATGTCAAAACAAAAGTCAATAACGTTAGTAATAATAAAATTAATTTATTTTATTTCATATTTTAATAATTAATTTTATCACAGATCGTTCTTTAGACCGGTAAATGCAATTGCAGAGAAAGAATCTCCAAAATGGTAAATGTTTATATTGTGAAATGATTTACGTTTATTTATTTACGCACATAATAACGATTAATTATGAGTGAAATTATAAAAAGAAACACGTTTTTAATGAAAATGTATGGTTTTATTATTGGAAAGCCACAAAAAAGCCTTAACAGATTATAAAGACAATAACATATTAAGCCGGCAATGAGTTAAAGTAACAAAAATAAAGTTAAAATGTTACAAATAATATAATGTTTGTGATAAACAATACTTTATTCTTTTTATAATATAGTGTTTATATATGAATACATATAATTTATGATATCACAGTAATCTTCACATACATTTCAATACCCTTTATATTGCAGTGAAATTAAAAAGGATTCACCAAAAAAGGTCGAGGAAACCACCAAAACTGAAGTAAAAGATGAATTAATGGATACATCAGTGGGTTCTCAAGCAAATACCACCGCAGAGAGTCCAAAAAGCAAATCTGAGCAAACTAAAGAGAATCGTAATATGATAAAAATATCTGATGGCATTGCTGAAGACCAGTGCGACAGTGCAGACTATAATCCTGCGAAAAATGATTACGATCCAATTAAAGATGCTTTTTGGAAAAAAGATAAGAGGTATTCTAAAATATTCAATTTGGTTGTACCAAAATTGAATATGGTCTACTTTATATAAAATATATTTTCTATTAATATGTTAGTTCTTCTCTCAAACGTCTAATGGGTCATTTAACATTTCCAATATTTGGTGACTTATTATGTATAATTATATACATATGTTATGTATACCACATATGTTTGTTATGATTTTTTATTTCTATTTTAAACAAATTCAGCAGTTAGAATAATTAATGTGGATGTGATGCACCAAAGCTCTACTGTATACGACCAAATCCACACCTGTAGTAGGAATAGAAATAAACAGGGTATCAGGTCCCAACGGAGCGGAGCACTGTAACCATAGTTTATTTTTTATGCTGCACACCTATATTAACATATCAGTAGTCCATTGTTAATGCACAAATATTGTTTATTTATTGCTTTTAGGTCGCTTTGTTAAATTTTTATTAAATTAATAATTAATATTAATAATTGGTAACCAATTCCTTTAAAGCACTACATTGCATTTCAGTGCTTTGGATATTAACTAAAGCTAATAGTATTGTTGAAATTCGTTGAGATCTGCTTTTAAAATCTCTTTGGGGAGTGGTGAACGGCACTTGCTCGTGTTGTTGTAGCCCGCTGGTTGTGTGACCCCTTTGGGGGATGTTGAACGTCGCTTGGTCGTCTTCGACCAATAATAACTTTAAGTTATACAAATTATATTCAGTCCGTCTATTTTAGATTTGTAAGAACATTGAAGAATTGAGATTTTCAGTTTTTTTTTCTTTTTTAAAGATAAAACTTAAAAGAACACCCGTCTCTTTAATTTTCATGTAATCTAATCACTTGAGATATTTGATAATTGTGTGATGATGTATCAGGAGTGCACTTAGAAATAATCTTGACAAAGTTTCCTCTATTTAATGAAATTCAACAAACTGAATTTAATCAATCAGCTTCAATGTCCATCACAGCAATAGTTTACGCATCTAATGTTTTCCATTTTCCAAGCCTCATTTAATCTCGGATCTCGTTTCCTTTAATGAAAAAAGTAGCTTAATTTTTCTCACTGATGAGTAAATAAATCTTGTTTATTTTCCCGTTATTATTTAATAGTCCATATAAGTTTTTTTAAATCCTTGAGCAATTTTAATCCTTTTTTTACTAACTACAATTTAGCACTCCTTACCTAGCTCTGGCACAAACGTTTGAAGCAATTGAAAATACACGATCTCGTCTTAAAATGATAGATATACTCGGTAATTTTTTCTATTCAGTATTGGTAATGAATCCAGAAGATCTATTGCCATCTGTGTACTTAAGTGTTAACGGGATAGCACCGGCTTATGAAGGTAAAAAAAATAAATATTTTTAAAGTTCGCTATATAAATACGTTTTATATATATGTTACCATTATATAGGTATGGAACTTGGAGTTGCAGAAACTACTTTAATGAAAGTTATTTGTAAGGCTACTGGTCGTGAACTTAAGCACATTAAAGCGCAAACCTTTAGTACTGGAGACTTAGGGATTGTTGCCGAACAATCAAGAGTGGCTCAGCGACGACTTTTTCAACCGGCGCCTTTGACCATTAAAAATGTTTTTAATAAATTGAAAACAATTGCAGCCACACAAGGAAAGGCCAAAAGCGATATAATACAGGAAGTTTTCATAGCCTGTCGTAATTCTGAAGCTCGATTTTTTATACGTTCATTAATTGGAAAATTGCGAATTGGAATTGCAGAACAAAGTTTGGTAAATGCTTTGGCAACTGCGGTGGTCAAATCACAATTGCGTGCTGCGAATAAATCTATACCCAGTGAAACCGTTCTAAAGAAAAAGATAGACGATACAGCTTTAGTTTTACGAACTGCATTCTGGTAATGACAACATTTTTAATTTAGTTTATATACTTTATATACTTTATAGTAAGGTTTATATACTAATCTTACAGTTTGTATTTTTTGCTCCATAATAGTGTCTTTATTATAGACATTTCGATATATTTACCTATTTACTTAGTATGTTAAATGGCATGTTGGCCACCTTAATCTGAGAGATTTGAAAGATTAAAGAAGTCCACATTGCTTCGAACTCATGTGTATATCTTCTTCATTCTGCTTAATATATGTGAATGGCAGTGTATTGTGTACCGCAGGAATCTAGTGCATAGATACCACATAGAACCACATAGACCATTAGTATTCTTAATAAGCAAATTTGGTAGTGTTTTTCTATCTATCTGAAAGTCACTAAACTAGGAATTTCAAAAGGAATTTGTTTTGGGAACTTCTCATTATTTCAAACAGATAACATTCAAAATATAGAAGTAGCTGACAGGTAGACTTATTTTGTATAGGTCTGAAAGTGGATTTAAAAATAAATTAGACCTTTTAAAAATAAATATTTGTTGTAAGGTCAATGAAATACGTTGTAGGATAGTGTCTTCACTGATTATTCTTTACTGTCATAATTGCATGACATTTGAACAAACAGAATTACTAGGATGTTGGATTGATATCCTAACAAATCCTTTGGAAAAAAAAGCGTCCACAAATCTTTTTTTCTTTTCATTATCAAGAAAATGTGCTTTCACGCAAAAACAATAGTCGTACGGGGTCGAGTTAAGTGATATGGGTAGTGGTTTACAAATTTTCAGTTGAAATGGAATAAATTAAAATTTTTAAGATCTTCAATTCCAATTACATCAGTGTTAATTTTGCCAGATGTTTTAAGAAATTCAAAGAGTCTGTAGTGATTATGGATTTTAGTGGTCTTAATGTTTCATGTCTCATTAATATTATAACCTTTTCTAAACTGCTTATACCACTCATAAAATCTGGCACGGGGTAAATTGATTATATTAACTCGTGAGGATTTCAATCAACTCATATAAATTTTTGATTTATTTCTAGTCAGTGTCCCAATTATGATATCATCATAGGAGCATTGCTTAAGCACGGTGTTGATGAGTTGTTGGAACATTGTACAATGCGTCCAGGCATACCTATTAAACCCATGTTGGCACAGCCAACAAAAAGTATACATGAAGTAATTGATCGCCTGGAAGGCATGACTATAACATGCGAATGGAAATATGATGGAGAACGTGCCCAAATACATTGCAATGATAAAAAAGTGGTCAACATATTCTCACGGAATCAAGAAAATAACACTGATAAATATCCTGATGTTATTTCACGTGTGGATAAATTTGTTGGTGATGACGTGCGCTCATTTATCATTGATAGTGAAGTCGTTGCTTGGGATAATGACAAGAAGCAAATTTTACCATTTCAAATTCTTAGTACACGCAAGAGAAAGAGAGTGGAAGTGGAAGATATTAAGGTGCAAGTTTGTGCATATGTCTTCGATTTACTTTATTTGAATGGCAAATCACTAGTGACGGAAACGTTTGAAACACGAAGAGGTTTAATGCGAGAACATTTTAAAGAAGTTGAAGGCATTTGGAAATTCGCAACAGCCTATGATACCAATGACATAAATGAAATACAACAGTTTCTTTCAGAATCTGTTAAAGGTAAACTACACTGCAATATAATTGTGCGATTATATTTGATTATTTTGAAATTTTTAGGTAACTGTGAAGGTTTAATGGTGAAAACTTTAGATAAAGAAGCCACATATGAAATAGCTAAACGTTCACGCAATTGGCTTAAATTGAAAAAGGATTATCTAGATGGAGCTGGTGATTCCTTAGATTTAGTAGTCATTGGTGGCTTTAAGGGCAAAGGCAAAAGAACGGGTATATATGGCGGTTTTCTACTGGCTTGTTATGACAAAGATAATGAAGAATATCAAAGTATATGTAAGATCGGAACAGGTTTCACGGAAGAAGATTTAAAAATGCATGCAGATTTCTTTAAAGATCATGTCATAAAAACATCAAAATTATATTACCAATATGATAATAGCTTAGCGCCAGATGATTGGTTTGAGCCTGTTCAAGTTTGGGAAGTTAAATGTGCCGATCTTTCACTTAGTCCCGTGCACAAAGCTGCAATTGGTATGCTTGATCCTGAGAAAGGAATATCATTGCGATTTCCACGATTTATACGTATCAGAGATGATAAATCACCAGAAGACGCCACTTCTGCTCAACAAGTTGCTGATATGTACTCATCACAAGATCAAATAAAAAATCAACAGAACGCAGGAGAAGAAGCTAGTGAATTTTACGATGATTTTTAGTTTTATTTTTATTTATTATAATATCTATTAAATTTAAATTAGATTATTTCTATTCAGTTGTGTACACCATGTGGTAGATATATAGAGAGATGCATGTACTCTATTATACGCTTGAAAAGGGTATTAATGTTGATATTTAAATTATGCTTATTACTTAAATAAGTTCTTAAAATGGATATGTATAATATTATTTCAAAATTTTATTAATTCTTTTTCCATTTTTTAATTGTTATTTAATTAAATGAAATCCTTTAAAAGTGAATAAGAGAATTATTGTTATTTATCAGCTATTGTTGTTGTTGCAATCCACGCGAATCTGCTTCTGTAGTTCCTTTTTGTGTATGCCAATAACGTTTGAACGCAAACTCGGCGAGTGGTTTTGGAATGTAGATCCGGCCGTTTTTGGAAGTAGAAATTTTCAGTGAATACATTTGTTTGTGAAGTTTAGTTTAGGTTTGAGAATGCATATGAAAAGAAGTATTAATAATTCTACTGGGAAACATTTACTGCTAATTATGATATTCTTAAGAATTTTTCGTCAGAGTAAGGCAAGCTACTAAAATCATTATATTCCATTTTAATTTTATATGCTGTTCTTGTAAAAGTATTTGTGTCTTCCAATTGCAGTTACGAAGATTTGATAAGTATACCCACTTATCAGAAAAAAAATCTAAATAATAAAGTTGTTTAGTCTTTAGTTGTGAACAAAGATATAGTATATGGTTGATGGATTCCATCTTCACTTCTTTATGGCAACTCTTGAATAATTGATTTGTTGCGGTACGCAACTGTGAAATAGAATGGAAGGAAAATGTAAAATATTTAGGTCTAACTTTTGACAGAAGATTTGGTTTGGCTTAAGAATATGGGGGTCAAAAAACTGGCTTGGGATATAACTCTGAATGCGCTAAAACCATTAACACAATGGAAGTTAAGTGTGATAAATAAGACTCGGTTTTTTGATTCTGAAATGTAGTTGTTCCATCATCGGAACAACTCTTAATTAATATTAATTAATTAATATTACTAAACAAATTATTCTATTGTATATTGAGCTCTTTATAAAGTATGATATATTTCTTCGACCCTCATTGTGCGGCATTATAATTTAGAAGATACAACTTCAACTAAACTTATTAATACATATATTAATGATATTCGTATAAAACGTCAATATTGGTATTCAATATTTGTCATAATTTATACCAAAAAATCGAATTGAATTTGTTTAAAAAGTGCAACAATAAAGCATTTTTGTGCTATTGAAAAGAAGGCATTATTATGATTAAGGAATTATGTATGACTTTTCACATATGAATTTGTTTAATTAAGGAAAGTATATCTCGTATTTGCGGATTAACATACATATATAAGTGATTATCTATTTGTATACATATATGCATATAACATATATATACTGGGACATTTGTTGTGCTGATTAAGTATTTTACGACTTCTGTAATAACTTGTGTACGACCTTAATGTATATCTTTCTTGACAGCTTTTTCACATTTGTAGTGTGATTTCTTCCATATTACTACACTTTTTCTAAATAGGATCGTACGTGGGATTTCAGTTTCAGAATGTTTGGCTTTCCTGAATGAGTTGGCTAACCCATGAGTATTTGAATATACGATGATATAGGGGAATTGCAGAGACAGATGAGTATTAGAAAACAGGCACATTGCTTTCTAAAATTTACTATATTTTTTTAAGGTCAGCTTCATTGTTGCAAGTTTATAGAGTTATCATATTGGCGTGGTTTTAATTGAATGTGGAAATTGCCCGTACATTCACTATTTTAGTCTACATATCTTTTTTAATGATACATCTGGTCTGGCGTATGAACAATGTTTATCTATTGAATCCGTGTATATTATTTGTGATTAAGTGGTTCTTAATAGAGAATGCTACCAATTCAACCTAATATAAGTTTTTAAGATATAGAAGTAGTTTTTTTTTTTTGGTGATTTGTTCACTATATTATCTTGAGATAATATTTAATTTTCAATATGCAGTTTAACAAATTTCGTATATATTTGAGTATGCATTAGGGCTGCTTGTAGTCTACTGAGAAGAAGAATGCCTAGTAAGAGGGTTTGGAAGACAAATAGTTCTGATGATACCATTCTGATTGTTTATTTCAATCTGTGTATATATGCAAATCATAGCAAAAAGGTGGGAATTTTATTTCAGGAATATATTTTGAATATTAGAAGTAGTAAAAAGAGAAAAGTATGACAAATGTCAAAAGGAACCAATAACTTTCTTGTTTTTGTCCCTGTTAGAAGGGGCAAGAAATTAAGCGTTTTTATTGAAACAAAAACGGTACAAAACTTTAATTATTATATTAATAATAATAATTAATTATATATTAATAATTCCAATATTTTTTTTAATAACCTTAAACCTTTTTTCTGTGTTCATGTTTTGTTCCAATAATATATATATATATAAATATATATGTATCTATTTTAGTTAGATAATAAATTCTATTATAATTATTTTTTAATTATTATAATTATTTTTTAACTGAAGTTATTTAAGGAACGATGCTCTAAGACAGAACCGTCGTGTTGCAGTTTTCCAAACTGAGTATTATAAGTCACTTAGGTCACTGGCTCTGTTCATATAGCTCCCTTTTTCACATGAAGAAGTAAATATATATATGAAATGTTTTACTTGTGGTTTCTACGGTGTTTTACAATCAATGAATTAATTTTTGAATGACTGCAAAGTATTAATAAATGATTAATGGAAATTATTTACTAGAACTGAAGGTTTTAATAATAATTGTTAGTTAAACTGTGAGAAAAATTAAAATTATATTGTAACTTAACGTATACAGGGGAGCAGACGTCAGAACACACCTTAATCTTAATCGTATATTTTACTGATAGACTGTCTGATATGCCTGAATGAGGAAATGTTGTTGTCGAATAAAAAACAAACAAGTGTACCTTCCCATTTTTAGAAAACTTTGAAGAGTGTATGATTTATAGGATATTTTAAGCTTATCATAAATATATATGGTATTTATGATGATATATAAAAATCAAAATCGAATGCAATTTGTTTTCTTTCTACTATATATTTTTATCGAAAGATTATTATAAACCTTTGCACTGTGGTGGTCTAAATTTTTGCTTGAAGGTTTTTCTTGAGTTCTTATTATAAGCAATTAGTGAAAAGTTATTAAGAATTCTTAATAATAAAAATAATAATAATTTATTTTAATATACCATAATATCGAAAGCGTTTTAGTTGTTGCAAAGAAATCTTTTTATTTTAACTAGAGGTAGCCTTCACATTTTAAGCTTGACGAATGAAAATGGATTAAGAAATTGGAATGATAGTAATATTTTATTACTTCAAACTACTAAAATATATTTAAAATATATATTAAATATATATATATTAAAACGATCATACCCAAACTGAAAAAATATAATCTCGTAAATGACTATTTCGAAAAAGAGGTGAACAAAGAAACTTAAGCGAGGGCTGAACGCAGACTAACAAAGAAAATTTTTAATCGATAATCAACATGGGGGCCCCACTTTGATATATTCTCGATAAAGTTCTTAGAAACGATCTGGCATACCACTATTGTGATGGCATAGTGACGATGCAGTAGGCATTTTTAAACCTTCTCTCTGCACAAAAAAAACAAAACAATTATACACTCTCTGCTTTAGTATCTATTCTCTATATATACTTTTTATACTATAGCTGAGTATAGTCAAAAGATCGGAATAACACCTGGATAATTTCATAAATGACAGATATTTTACAAAGAACCAAAGACCGAAAGAAGATTAAGGGCGAAAACCGAATCGAGAAAATACATAAGCTTATTTCGGTTTAGCAATCTATGGTTTATTATTCAGTTTTTTTTTTACTTTGTTTAAAAAAGGTGTAATTAAAATTCAATTTAATTAAAATTATGTTTTAAATAAGCTAGTTTTGCACTAAACATAAATAATTAAATTAAGTCATATGATTCTGAAGTAAGAAGCATTGAACTTTTGAACTATGAAAATAGAATAGTTTATTTATTTGAGTATATGTACTTCCAATAACCGGTAATTAAAAATTAATTTATTTTAAAAGAATGTATAAAATAAAACTAATTTATTATATAAATATATAAAAAATATTTACGAAAAATTATATTAAAAATTAAAAGAAAATGTTATTTTCTTTGGAACGGAAAACGACACGAACTGTTTTTAATTAAACCGTAAAGATAAAAGCTCGAAGCCCAAATTAATATGGATTTTTGGTATTTATAAATAATTTAATTCATACCGAACTGATATTTCTTTATAAGTAGGTTCTTAATATAACAGTGATTTTAATATATTTTTGTATAATAGTTATGCTTGTATAAGAAAATTAGTTATGAACGACACTGAGTTCATTGTATTCAAACACAATGTTTGTAGGGTGCATAGCATAGTTATTGTTGTGAACTATTTAAATAATTCAGCAGTGCTGAATCTTAGCTCACCTTACTTAGATGTGTATATGGTTATTATCATATATAAATCATAATTATATAATATGATTTAATAAACTCTGCTGATAACATAACATGACTAATTTCAGTTAAAAAAAATATACTTTTTTATATATATTTCTAAATATGTATAGATATATTTAAAAAATTAATTATATATATAATATATGCTAGATCATTGTATTAAAAAAACTAATAAAGTGTTAAAGTGTTTTTTGTCTTATAAGGAATAAATAGATTTAAAACAAAAATGATCTTTAAGAAATTTTTACTAGACTTTAACTTTCACACTGTACCTGATATTGTTTTTGCTAATGGACCTTGCTTAAGCATTTCTTCTAGACTTGACAAAATAATGAATCTGTCATTGCTTAGCATGTTAAATATCGATTTTGCAAGTAAGAAGTCAAATGTATACTTTCGTAGTTATTTTTTTAACAAATTTTATTGATTTTAACTCATAGAATCCTCACAGAAAGTTAAAATCATAACGCATGTTGATGATGGCACAATTTTTAAAAGGGCCCAAGACCTGTTAATATTGTGATATAGAATTAATGCATATCTTGGCTTTTCATACGATTAAGATATAATTTAATCGAAATTGAAGAGAAAATATTTCAAAATCTAATACGAAACAGGAGTTAATTAT